TTCACTCCCCATCCCCACCCTGGGACCCTGACCTACAGGGCACTCCTCTACTGCAAAGCACCCCCACGTGAGCAAAGCTCTGCTCTGCAGCCTTCCACGCCTCAGATCCCCCTGCGCACATCAAGGGAGACCACCAGTGCTGCCTCTACCCTTGGATGTCTTAAGGACCACAGGCAGGGAGGTCCGAGTCCCTGCCCACTGGCCCAGCCCTTTAGGGGTCTTCCTTGCCGAGGTTTTTTCTCAGCCTTGCTCTCCCTGCCCTGATGAAAACAAGGGATTTTTCAACCATCAAACATTCCTTCAATAGGCTGTCCAAGCCCTCAGCACTGCTCCCCCTCTATACCTTAGCCCTCCTGTTTTCACATAGGATGTGTACCACCAGCCACCTGCTTGACATTTTTTGGCTGTCCTCTTCCCTGACTCTCCTACCAGCTTGTGGCTCCTTCAGAGAAGGGACAAGTCTTTCTTTCCCTACTGGGCACCTCACACAGAAGTTGGCCCAGGGTGGCATTCAAAGAGTTTGCCTTTTCTTTCCCCAGCTGTTAGGCAATCAGCCCAGAATGAGTAGGGAGAATAATTACTTTTTTTTTTTTGCCAGTCCTGGGGCTTAAACTCAGGGCCTGAGCACTGTCCCTGAGCTTCTTTTTGCTCAAGGCTAGCACTCAACTATTTGAGCCATGGTGCCACTTCTGGCTTTTTCTGTTTATGTGGTACTACGGAATCAAACACAGGACTTCATGCATGCTAGGCAAACACTACCACTAGACCATGTTCCCAGCCCTAATCTCAACCTTCTTGAAGCAGTATTTACATCTTGGACTACTCCTAAACAGACTGTTTCTTGAAAATTACCTGAGGGAACATCTGTGGAATGTCTTCTGGATTGGTGTCTGCTTTCTGTGGAGCTGGTAAGACGGGTGGGTTTGCTGGTTTCAACCCAGGGATTTCTGGTCTCACCTTCTGCTCTTCTTCAGGTCTGCTACTCAGGGCTACAGAAGATAATCCTTTACCTCAGGGCTCAGAGGAAACTTAAACTGCTCCATAAGAGAAGTTTAGACAGACAGGGCAGGGGAACACCAAGAAGTAAATGAATTTGCCAAGTATGGAGGTATATGCCTGTAAGCCCAGCCACTCAAAAGGCAAAAGCAGCCAGGCGCTGGTGGCTCATGCCTGTAATCCTAGCTATTCAGGAAGCTGAGATCTGAGGATCCCAGTTCAAAGCCAGCCAGGGCAGTAAAGTCCATGAGACTCTTAATTCCAACTAACCACCAGATAATCACAAGTGGTGCTGTGGCTCAAAGTGGTAGAGCACTAGCCTTGAACAAATGAGCTCATGGAGAGTGCCCAAACCCCGAGTTCAAGCCCCCTCCCTCAACACCAACAACAAAAAAGACCCTACTTGAAAAATGAACTAAAGTAAAAAAAGTGCTGGGCATGTGGCTCAAATGGTATATAGCACTTACTGCCCTGAGTTAAAAATCCCAATTAAAAAAAAAAGACATGGGGCTGGGAAGGGCCTCAGCAGTAGAGTGCTTGCCTTGCATACCTGAGGCCCTGAGTTTGATTCCTCAGCACCACATAAACAGCAAAGGCCAGAAGTGGCGCTGTGGCTCAAGTGGTAGAGCACTAGCCTTGAGCTAAAGAACTGAGGGACAGTGCCCAGGCCTAGAGTTCAAGCACCACAACTGACCAAAAAAGAAAAAGTCACACTGAATTTGAGAATAGACAATTTCATTATTTTCAAAGAGCTTGACCTAAGCACAGCACACCACCCTTCACTCTAACAGGGCAATGTGTCTGTACAACTGCAGCTCTCTGCCTCTCCCCGGGAACGACAGTCATCGAGGAGCAAGCTCAGAACAGATTCTCTATGTCCTCACCAGAAATCTACTGGTCTGCTGTAAACGAATGACAACGAGCAGTGGGATATTAATGTAATCAACAAGACTGAGCACTCCAACTCAAGACCGATGCTCTTTCGCCAGACAGGCTGGAACAGCAAGTTACAGCCAGGTACCCTCACAGTCAGTTTGTTGTTTTAAACTGAGTCACTAGGCTCTACCTGCCCTGAGCCCCAGCCCAAGTATCCTCATTGTTTCTGATACCTTTCCACTGGTCAGCCACGTGTACGTAGGACAGGAACCCACAAAGAACCAGAAAGGCCAAGAGGAAAAGAATCACGTTCCGCTGTAACCTCGACAGCTGCTTCCATTTCTAAGGAAGAGACAGAGCATGACATTGTCACAGATGCAGGAGGACAGGAACCGCGAGAGACCCCGTGGTCAGCCGCACTGGCTGTCGGGGCAGAGCAGCTTCCTGGGCGCGCGCGGGACCAGCGCGGACCGCGGGCGGCGCGGGGCGGCGGAGGCCCGGCCCGGGAGGTCAGGCGCGCCCGGGCCGCCCTCCGCGGGCGCCGGGGCGGCGCAGTCTCCACGGCCGGGGAGAGCGGGCGCCGGGGCCGCGCCTCACCCTCCAGCAGGAGCGCCGCCGCCGGCTCTTGCTGTTGTCGTAGCTCTCGCCCAGGCTCAGCGTCACCGAGATGAAGTCCTGGTGGGGCGCCGGCGGCGGCGGCGGATACATGCCGTCGACTCCGGCCGGCGCGACTCCGCCCGCGGACGGCGTCAGGAAGCCCAAGTCCGCAGCACAGCGCCGGCGGCCATAGCACCACCGTGCACACCCCGCCCATCGTCCCGGACGCCCGTGCGCACGCGCCTCACCTTTCACCAGCCGTCGCGCAGGCGTCTTGCCGTGTCTTCTCACTGCGCACGCGCGCCGCCTCCGCCGCGCAGTCCTCTCCGAATCTCTTGCGTCGAAGATCCGCGCCTGCGCCGTACTTTACGTCATGCGTCCGCGTCCGCCGCGGGGCCGTCACCCGGCAGGGCGGGCTCCCAGCCGCGCGGGCCCGCTCCGCGGCCACTGTGCGGAAGTAGGGCCCCGCTCCCCGGACGGCCGCCGCCACCGTCCTCGCGAGGCCCGCCACCGGAACCGGGCCGTGGGCGCGCCCGACGGGAGGCGAGGAGCCCCCGCGAGGCTGCGTCCGGGCCGGGCGCGCGGAAGCCGCCGGCGCCCCGGGCCTCTGCACACACCCCCGGGCCTCTGCACCCCCCCCGGGCCTCTGCACCCCCCCCGGGCCTCTGCACTCCCCCGGGCCTCTGCACCCCCCCCCGGGCCTCTGCACACCCCCCCGGGCCTCTGCACACCCCCCGGGCCTCTGCACCCCCCCCGGGCCTCTGCACCCCCCCCGGGCCTCTGCACACCCTCCCCGGGCCTCTGCACACCCCCGGGCCTCTGCACCCCCCCCGGGCCTCTGCACCCCCCCCGGGCCTCTGCACACCCCCCGGGCCTCTGCACCCCCCCGGGCCGCTGCACCCCCCCCCGGGCCTCTGCACCCCCCCGGGCCTCTGCACCCCCCCGGGCCTCTGCACACCCCCCGGGCCTCTGCACACCCCCGGGCCCCTGCACACCCCCGGGCCTCTCCCTCCCCAGCCGCTGCACCCCCCCGGGCCTCTGCACACCCCCGGGCCTCTGCACCCCCCCCCCGGGCCTCTGCACACCCCCCCCCGAGCCTCTGCACCCCCCCGGGCCTCTGCACACCCCCAGGCCTCTGCACCCCACCCGGGCCTCTGCACACCCCCGGGCCTCTGCACACCCCCCGGGCCTCTGCACACCCCCGGGCCTCTGTCCCTCCCCAGACCTCTGTCCCCCCCAGCCGCTGTCCCCCCCCTGGCCTCTGTCCCTCCCCCCCGGGCCTCTGTCCCTCCCCAGACCTCTGTCCCCCCCAGCCGCTGTCCCCCCCCCTGGCCTCTGTCCCTCCCCCCCGGGCCTCTGCACACCCCCGGGCCTCTGCACACCCCCGGGCCCCTGCACACCCCCGGGCCTCTGTCCCTCCCCAGGCCTCTGCACACCCCCCCAGCCGCTGTCCCTCCCCGGGTCTCTGACCCCCCCCCAGCCTCTGTCCCTCCCTCCCAGCCACTGTCCCCCCCCAGCCTCTGTCCCCCCCAGCCGCTGTCCCCCCCCCTGCCTCTGCCCCCCCCAGCCGCTGTCCCCTCCCAGCCGCTGTCCCCCCCCAGCCGCTGTCCCTTCCCCCTCTCCCTGGGCCTCTCCCTCCCCCGGCCTCTGCTGCCCGGGGGGCGAGCCCACTGCTTCCCAGAGCCCCAACCAGGAGTCCCCACTCAGAGAACGCCGCACGGTTGGGTTTGCCTGCGTCTGTTGCAGAATACCCCCACTCCTGTGTCCCCTTTTTCTTCCTCTTCCTTCTCCCTTCTTGAGTTATCTTTAAAAAAAAAAAAAAAAGGCACAAGGTTTATTATTTATTTATTTTTTTTTTGCTGGTCGTGGGGCCTGAACTCTGGGCCTGGGCACTGGCCCTCAGCTCTTCAGCTCAAGGCTAGCGCTCTAGCGCTTGAGCCACAGCACCATTTCCGGCTTTTTCTGCTTATGTGGTGCTGAGGAATCGAACCCAGGGCCTCAGGCATGCAAGGCAAAGCACTCTACCACTGAGCCACCTTCTCAGCCCTTGAGTTATCTTTTGAGTTCCCTGCCGGCCTCTTTCCATGCGTGATTATTGACTCAATGAGTCCTTCAAACGTTGCTCCACTCTCTTACCAGGAACGGAACCAGTGGCAAAGCGGTGTTGTGTGGTAACTCGGGCCACTGGAAGTCTTCCAGAAATGAGGATGTAGGTCATGGTACAATTTCCAGTCATGCACACGACCCTAGTTCAATTCCCAGCGGGGGGGGGGGGGGGGGGGGGGGGGGGGGGAAGGGCTGGGAAGGTGGCTCAGTGGTAGACGCTTGCCTTGTATGCATGAGGCCCTGGGTTCGATTCCTCAGCACTACATAATCAGAAGTGGTGCTGTGGCTCAAGTGGTAGAGCGCTAGCCTTGAGCTGAAGAGCTGAGGGACAGCGCCCAGGCCCAGAGTTCAGGCCCCATGACCGAGGGGGGGAGGGGAGAAACAAAACAGGATGTGGAAGAAGAAAATGTAGCTGATGCTAATTCTGAGAATTTGGGGCCTGGTCTGAGGGTGTGTGTTTTCCCAAACAAGCTGTTGCCCATAGTACATGGGATGGCATTTAGAATTCCAGACGGCCAATGAGGAGATCACATGGTTAAAACAGAAGGCTGGGAATCTGACTCAGTGGTAGAGTGCTTGCCTAGCATACATGAAGCCCTAGGTTTGATTCCTCAGTATTACATAAACAGAAAAAAAGAGAAATGGCACTGTGGTTCAAGTGGTAGAATGTTCGCCTTGAGCAAAAGAAGCTCAGAGACAGTGCCCAGGCCGAGTTCAAGCCCCAGGATGGAAAAAAAAAAAAAAAAAGAAAAGAAAAAATGGAAAAGGAGGAATTTGTCAGAGCATAATACAAATTTTCTGTAGCTGAAAAATCTAGTTCAAGCCAGGCAGGGTGGAACAAATTACCCACTACTGAACATGTCCTTGTCAAGTTTCTGAGTTTCAAGATCAGTGAAGATTTGGAAGAATATAGAGAAGAAAAGAAAGCAAAGTCAGCCACAGGGAGCAATTATAAAATAGCATTAGATGGGGCTGGGAAGGTGGCTCAGTGGTAGAGCACTTGCCTTGCATAAAGTAGCATTAGCTTTCTCATTTGTGTTCTAATTCCAGAAAGCAAAACAAGGACCTCAGAATTCTGAGAGAATTCAGTTGAAACTCTCCTTTATATATTGTCTTTTTTTTTTGTCAGTCGTGGGGCTTGAACTCTGGGCCTGGATGCTGTCCCCGTGTGCTTCAGCTCAAGGCAAGCCTCTACACAGAGCCACTTCTGGTTTTCTAGTGGTTTGTTGGAGATAAGAGTCTCACGGACTTTTCTGCCCAGGCTGGCTTTGAACCATATTGTCTTAAAGTCTGTTTTACCCAGTGTTGGTATAGTCAGTCTATCACTGATGTTTTTACAATGTATCTTTTCCAAAACCAGCTAAAATACATAATGAGAACCACAGATATACAAACCCCAAATTGAAATGAGAAACAGACCACTTAAAAAGTATTGAGGGCCGGGCGCTGGTGGCTCGCACCTGTAATCCTAGAGGCTGAGATCTGAGAATTGAGGTTCAAAGCCAGCCCAATCAGGGAAGTCCGTGAGACTCTCCAATAAACCATTAGAAAATGGAAGTGGTGCTGTGGCTCAAGTAGAGCACTAGCCTTGAGCTGAAGAGCTCAAGCCCCACAACTGACAACAACAAAAAAAAGTAGGGCAGGTACCAGTGGCTCACACCTGTAATCCTAGCTACTCAGGAGATTGAGATCTGATGCTGGAGGTTCAAAGCTAGCCCAGGCAATAAAGTCCCTAAGACTCTTTATCTCCAATAACCACCAAAAAGTCTTAAGTGGAATTGTGGCTCAACTGGTCAGGCGCTAGCCTTGAGGGGAAAAAAAACTTAGGGGCAGTACCCAGGCCCTGAGGTGCAAGCCCCAGGACCAGGCTCTAGTTTCAGACTTCCCTGCCTGGAGGCTTTGAATCACTATCTTCAGAGCTCAGCCTCCTGAGTAGCTAGGATTACAGGGGTGAGCCACCAGCGCCCAATTTACTATAATATAGTTAAACTAGAAATAAAGATTTGGGAAACCCACAAATACTTGAACAACACTTCTAAATAAACCAGAGTCAAAATGAAATCACAAAAGAAATTAGAATGAGCTGAATGAAAATAAGATGCAGTGAACACAGGGCTTAGAAGAAAATTTGTGACTATAAACTTTCATACTAGAAGAGGTGAAAAATCCCCGATATTTTTCTACATTAAGGAACTAGAAAGAAGGACTGGACCTGCTTTGACTGTATTTGATGTTGGTATAATTTGTGGAGGGGAAGGGCAAAAACAAATTGTTTAGGGATACAGGTGGACCCATTGCAACAATGAGATGTACGAGTCACACCGAAAAACGAACTTTACAACTTTGGGGGAGTGGTGGGGAGGGGAGAGGAGTGGGAACGCATGGGAAAGGGAAACAGAGGAGGTACCAATGCAGGATAAAAAATGTACTCATTATCTTGCCCATGTAATTGTAACTCCTCTGTACGGTATTCTTACAATTAAAAAAAAGAAAGGCTGGAGTTGTTCAAATGGTAAAGTGCTTGCCTACCGAGTACAAAAGAAGAAGATAAGGGGGCAAAAAACTAAATCCAGAGCAAACAGAGGAAGGCAATGAAGTATAAAACAAAAAAGGTAAAGACAAATACCTATTTCTTTCAGAAAAGAAAATTGGCAAGCCGGGCGCTGGTGGCTCACGCCTATAATCCTAGCTACTCAGGAGGCTGAGATCTGAGGATTGAGGTTTAAAGCCAGCCCAGGCAAGAAAGTCTGTGAAACTTATCTCCAATAAACCACCAGGAAACCGGAAGTGTCGCTGTAGCTCAAGTGGTAGAGCACTAGCTTGAGCTGAAGAGTTGAGGGACAGTGCCCAGGCCCAGAGTTCAAGCCCCACAACTGACAAAAAGAAAAGAAAATTGGCAAATGTTTAGCTAGACCAACAAAGAAAAAAAATGGAAGAAGGACATCAGTGCTGACCTTATAGGAATCAAAAAGGGCTGAGGCCCTAGCTCAAGAGGTTGACCTCCAGCGAACCTGAGACCCAGGGTTTAATTCCAGAATTAATAGACTACAAAAGAATACTACAAAGGACAAGCTATGAATGTTCAAGAGTCTGGGATCAAAT